ATATAGCAGGGAAACTGTTACAGAATGGTGGTATTATCTGAGCACCTGACTCATAGGAACTTAAAACTAGAAGGAATCTCAAGGATCATCTTACCCATCTTCTCATTTTACAGATTTGGAAATTGAGGCTGACAGCAGCTGAGTGATTTGTTCCAGCATTGTGGCTCAGCTGGTAAAGAATCCGCCTGCAATGTGGGAGACCCGGGTTTGATCCCTGGGTTGGGAAGATCCCCTGGAGAAGGGAAAGACTGCCAACTCCAGTATTCTGGCCTGGAGAATTCCAAAGACTGTATGGTCCATGGGGTTGCAAAGAGTCACACATGACTGAGAGACTTTCAGTCACGCACACTTGATGAGAGAACTGGAATCCAGACGAGAATCAGGTTTGTATTCCTTCCACTCTCTCCAGAATCCTATGTCTCCCAAAAAGATATATTCTTTCTGCTTTAATGCATAGTTTCTTCTCACAGCCCAGCTGTGTGACTGTGACTCATAATGAAGTTCAATAGGAGGGACAGCTGCCTTGATTGGTCTTTGTACACAAATGTCTAGAAATGGTAAGACCCACAGTGGACTTTTAATACACATTGATCATGACACTCTATTTAAATTTTAAACAGCATTCCTTCAATTCAGAAAAGCTTTTGGAAATAGCAAACGACTTGGAGTCTCACAATTGACTGCCATTTGTCAGCTGACACACTCGAGGAGTATATGCTTTCATTTTGCTATTTGAAAAGATGAAAAACTAACATAAACATACACTTAAGGATCTCAAACATCCTTAAACATTCTCTTTCTAGGAACAGTGAGAACTTTCTACATACATTAGAACTCTAGATAAGCAAAGTGATTTGAACGCTCAAGAGAAAAAGATCAGTGAAGTAAAAGTAAAATACTAATTTCACAGGATCCCTCAGATTGAACTTGTTTACTGATGAGCTCTATTGACTGATGGGGCACTGAACCATTGGTAACTAGGGTGTGAGCTGTTCCCCCAACTCTGCTATGTAAAATACCTTCTCATTATTATACAAATACCATCATCAGGCTAGAAAATAATTTGGGAGAGTTCATGGCTTTTGGAACAACCCACAGCAAGTGACACTGTCTTGACAAAATATAATTACCTCCAACCCTGAGTTGCAACTATAGGAGAGCAGTAAACAAGCCCCGTAGTATTGTTTTAGATGAAGCACATTGAAAGCTCTGCACTTCCTCCAGGCCTCCTCTTTCTTCCTGAACGAACTCCAGGGAATGGCATCATGTCAGGCTTTCCAGATGGATTATGTGGAGCCATAGCTCAATGTCATTTTCAATAGGAAGCCTCATAATTAAAGGTCAAATAGTCACTTCATCTGCAATCAATCAATAGAAAAAGTACTAATACGAAGAACTAATCAATCAATGGCAAATGCACTAATAAAAGCAATGAATCAAATTCAGCATGTGTGTAGATGCAAGTACACCAAGGAGATGGAGACAGGGCAAAAGCAAGAACAATAAAATAAACTGCAAGCATATGTACAAGAGAATACTCAGAAGGCTGCTCAAAACCAGAGTTTTCATCTTTGGTTCATTAGTTACCTGGGTACCACTTGGCCTGCAATAATTTATTCTTAAATACAAATACTGGATATGCTAATAAACAATGTTATTTCATTGAGCTTTCTTAATGTAATCTATTTGAGACGTTATGTGTATGTGTGTGTATGCACATGTGTGTGTGTAAAATCACTAAAAGAAATATTTTGACAGTGATCACAAAAGGGACAAATGTATTTCCTATACGCCAAATAGATATATTTGAATCTGTTGTCTTTCATCTTGGTGAGAAATAAGAGAAAGTATCACTCTGAGTGATAGATCCTACCTGAAATTTGCCCCCTGCTTTCTGAAACATGAATTCTTCACACTTACTGTGATGCTCTATCGTTGCCATGCAGATGAGAAGTCCCATTAGGATAATTATCAGCTGTGGCTTGGGGGACTGCTGTGTATCTCCTCTGTACCAGAGATATCAGGTCACCAGTAGAGGGAAACATGCCTTGAACCTTGTGGAAATGATACACTAAATTTATAGGGCTCAACAAGGCCATTCAAGCAAGAGGACCCAAACATCCCTTGCTGTGTGCAGAAATAAGGGCGCTCCAAGGGTTATCTGCGCCTTCTCAGTGAGATAAGAAAGCAGCAAAGAGGTCATTTTTATAAATGCTACCTGGGAGACTACAGGCAGAAAGCCAGGTGTGATCAAGGCATAATAGAATATCCTGCTGCTGCTAAGTCACTTCCTGACTCTGTGCGACCCCACAGACAGCAGCCCACCAGGCTCCTCTGTCTGTGGGATTCTCCAGGCAAGAATCCCACTGGAGTGGGTTGCCATTTCCTTCTCCAATGCATGCATGCATGCTAAGGCGCTTCAGCCCTGTCTGACTCTGCAAGTAAAATTCCCTAATCCAGGAGCTATGGAAACTAAGGCCTGGGGATGTTTCAATGGAAGAGTCAGGATGAGTATTTAGGACTTGCAATTCCAAGAGAGACTAGGTCTACCATGTTATGGAAATAACTAAGGATTTACACCACCATGGTTATTTAGTTATCATACTAGAATAGTATTGCAGGATCCAAGTACCTATTTCATGGGAGAATATTGCAAAAGCAAAGTGCAAAAGCAGAAGCCCAAGTTAACCCCAATGTTTTCAGTAAAATAGATACTTTTGATTGGTGTTCACCTAATTTTTCAGATGACTGAAAATCAGAAAGCATCAAGAACAGAACGATATGGCTCTGAGATTTAAAAAAATGAAGAAAAAAAACCAGCATGAGTATTTTGCTTACAGAAAAGAATACAGATCAGTTTGCAGTATGCTTCTCAGGTAGAGCTTTACTCATCATGGCCAGCTCCAGCACAGGAGAAAATTATGGAGAACAAAATAAACATGGACTTTCCTGGTGGTCCAGTGGTTAGGAATCTGCCTGCCAATGTAGGGGAAGTGGGTTCGATCCACGGTCTGGGAACTAAGATCCCACACGCTGTGGGGCAACTAAGCCTGTGCACGGAAACTCTCGAGCAAGCGTTCTAGAGCCTGCGAGCCACAACTACCGAAGCCCACAGGCCCTAGAACCCACTCGCCACAGCAAGAGAAGCCAGTTCAGCGAGAAGCCCACACGCAGCACCTAGAGAGGAGCCCCCACTAGCTGTGACTACAGAAAACCCACGCGCAGCAACGGAGACCCAGCACAGCCAAACACAAATACAAATAAATTTTAAAAAACCACAATCCATTTGGGTTTTCCTGACAAAAGCAAATCCTAAGGGCGGGGCGGGTTTCAGAGGCCAGGGCAGAGATGCAGAAGCATATTGGACGCAGCCTGGGCTCAGCACCTGCGCTAACAACACAGGCTCCGTTGAGCCCTGACTCATGACAGCTGAGGGGTCTGGAGGCACCCAATCTCTGGCCCCCTATCTCTACAGAAACCCCTGCCTGTTCTCCAGGAGACCTGGAGCACTGGCGTCACGTCATAACAATGACATGCGGGGAAAAGTGCAGGTTGATTCCTTTTGAGGTCAACAATTAAACCACATCTATCATATGAACATCAACAAGACCCAGGGCAGAGGACTGAAACCCTGGAAACAGTAACGCGTTCATAACCAACACAGAGCAATAGCTAATCACAGCCGCTGCTTCCAGGCAGCACACCAAGCTCTCTCCGTGGGCAGTCTGGCTCCATCCACAGCAACCTACACACAGCACCATCACCGAACACGTTTTCTCATGGACTGACCTGTATTACGGACAAGTCCTGGGTCGGATACTTAACACATTTTATCTTCAGTCTTTACAACACCCTTACAATGTAAGAAAAAGCCTTACAAAGTGAGAAAGCTAAGGTTCAGGGAGCTTAAGTGATTTGTCCAGGTTCACAAAATCTGGAACCAGAAAGTAGCTTCCAAAGCTCTCTCAGCTTCCTTTTGGTGATGATTCTAAGGAAAACCTAATAGACATGTTGCAGTGAAGGGACAGTACACATATAATTTATTCAAATATTCTGAAGTCCTAGATAGCAATTACATAAGAGTATGTCCAGTTTCTAAATCATTTCCCCATCTTTGCAAGACTGAAAATAATTCTATCGGACAGAAATGTCTGGGGCTAGTAAAACCATTATGAAATATCTTTGTTCTCTAGTTTACAGACTGAACTTTAACATAAACAGACTTAGAGGAATGTTAAGTCAGTTATACGCCAAAATGTAAAGGAATTTTTAATACGAGTTTAGCGACAATGTGCCTTCTACCCCACGGAGTTTGTGAATGATGTTTCCATACAGTTTCTCATTACTTAATGATCTTTAATGACTAAAAGCATGGATTCCAGATAACTAGATAGGTTATTGGGATAATGCCTTTAAACTGGGTAAAGGTAAGGAGAGAATAGCACTTTTCTTGATCCATTTTTGTCCATTAAATACATACTTATTTCACTTTAGGTATTAACGAGACTGAGTTCACAATAACTAAATATATTATTGTTTCTTTATAGAAATAACATTCTGAAATAAACTTCAGCCTAATGTCAATTATTTTCACCCTGCTCCGAGCTTCCAGAAACTATGTTAACATCTTCCAGGGGTCACTCTAGGGCCTTCCAAAGCCAAGTTTGTGCTCACTGCACCCCCACAACTACCCCACTCCCCAACTTTTAACATGAACATTCGATCCTGAAAACCTTCTATGAGAATGGAAAACATGATTACAAGTAGAGCTAAACCCTACACTATTAAACCCTACACTATTAAAACTATTAAAAATAGTTTAATTCATGATGGTATTTCAAAGTCATGATTGAGCCCCACTTTGCTACCGTTCTTTAAGTAACAAAGTAGACAATACCCGCATTCCATTTAGTTTGAAAAGTTGTTTGAATTTCAAAATCATAAGATGCAATTATCTGAAGGTAATATTAAGCTAGTGTTTCGGTCTGTGGATTACTTACCCAATGTGAGGGATTTGTGTGTAGAACAGAACATGACAGCTACAGTGTCTGCTGGTGTGAAACCCGAATTATTCCTGAGGGGGGGAAAAAAGAGCTTTACAAATATTGCTATAAAAAAGCCTATTTAACACATCCTCAATCAAATGTAGTACCTATCTTCATGCAAACATCCTTTTGCTCAATCCTGGAGACAGAAGTAATTCTATACCGAAATGCACAGAAATGTCCAAATTTCTTTTTAGAGAGTAATTTCTAGTTTATTCATGAAAAAGATATAGTCCTAAAAATATGGTGTTGGCGGGGGAGGTCTCCTAAGATCATGTGCATCATGGATCTGTGGGACAGGACTTTATAAAAATCCTGCAGCAGGAAACTCCATTAGTGCACCCACCAGGCTGCCACTTGATTTTAATGCAGTAGCTTGAAAGAGTTAATGTGTCTCCAAAAAGGCTTCCCTCAAGGAGTAACACATCCTTTAGGCAGCAAGTGCACACAGTTGAGAACTACAAGGTGTGAACAAGGATTTAACATCATATGTTTCAGTAAAAATAACAAATGACCAATTTTTAGCAATTACCATGTACCAAGTATTCCTTTAAGGTCTTTGCATGTAAAGACAAAAATCCTATCAGGTAGCCAATATGATATCCCTATTAACAGATGAGAAAACCTCAGTACACAGAAATTATGGAACCAACCCAGGACCTCAGAGCTAGGGAGTGAGTGACAGAGTCAGGAGTTAAACCAAGTCCAGCTCCTGTGTCTATGCTTAACTGCTAAATAATATGTTAAAAGGCTTTCCTGGTGGCTCAGTTGGTAAAGAATCTGCCTGCAATATAGGAGACCTGGGTTTGATCTCTGGGCTGGGAAGATCCCCTGGAGAAGGGAATGGTAAACCTGCTCCAGTATTCTTGCCTGAAGAATTCCATGGACAGAGGAGCCTGGAGAGCTACAGTCCATGGGGTCACAAAGAGTTGGACATGACTGACTGACTTTCAGGCAAGAATACTGGAGTGGGTTGCCATTTCCTTCTCCAGGGGATCTTCCTGACCTCAGGATCGAACCTGCATCTCCTCCATTGGCAGGTGAATTCTTTACCACTGAGCCACCTGAGAAGCCCTTGACTTTCACTTCACTTCACTGTGCTAAAGATAAAAAGATCTTGCTTAGTCAAAATCCCATTAAATGTTAGAGCTAAAATTTTTGTCATGTAATCTTTTTTTTCTTTTGAACTTTTTATTTTGTCTTGGAGTGTACCCAATTAACAATGTTGTGATAGTTTCAGGTGAACAATGAAGGGACTCAGCCATACATATGCATGTATCCACTCTCCCTCTAACAGATCATCAAAACTTCACAATCATTTGTGCCTGTGTTGGGAGTGGGACAGTCAAACACTAGAATTCAATAAAGAAATAATGTTGAACTTTAAAAATCCATTAAATGTTATGGGGATCAGTACTAGTGAATATCATATTGAAATTTCCTATTTTAGATCACAAAGATTTAGAGGACCAAGGACCAAAAAGGTTAGAAATGCAATTATTACTATTGCATTTTTGACATGTTAGAAACTATTCCTTCCTCCAGAATCAGCTTTTGAAGACATAGTGAGTCTGTGTGAGCCTATTCATTGCCCACCCTGAACTCAGACAAGAGAGTGAGCAAAGGGAACAATGTTTTAAAGCCTGACTGCACACGTACAGTTGCAGATACAGCAATCTATCCAGTTGTCAAGGATCTCTAAAGAAAGTGACTCCACCATTTCCCCGGGCAGCCTTATCCTTTTTAAAAATTCTGTTTATTTATTTACTTTTGGCTGTGCTGGGTCTTCGTTGCTGTGCAGGCTTTCTCTAGTTACATCAGAAAGCTGGGGCTACCCTCTGGTTGAGGTGCACAGACGTCTCATTGTGCTGGCTTCTCCTGTTGCGGAGCATGCGTTCTAGGCATTTGGGCTTCAGTAGTTGCAGCACGTGGGTTCAGTAGTTGTGGCTCTCTGGCTCTAGCGCACAAGGTTCATTAGTTGTGGCACATGAGCTTAACTGCTCTGAGGAATGTGGGATCTTCCTGCATGTCTCCTGCATTGGCAGGCAGATTCTTTACCACTGAGACACCAGGGAAGCCCCAGACTTAACCTTATATATAACTGTCACTGGGAGAAAAAACTTCCCTCAATAGATCCCTCATCCTGTTTCTTTGTTATATACCCACTGGAGGGGATAGGGACCCTCTCTTCTACCACCTCCTCCTCTCTGCATAATGGTACCTACATACAGTGGGATATTACTCAGTCATAAAAAGGAATGAGACTGGGTCGGTTGGAGAGATGTAGATGGACCGGAGATTGTCACACAGAGGGAAGTAAGTCAGAGAAACAAACATTGTACATGAATGCATATGTGTGGAATCTAGAAGAACAGTACAGATGAAGCTACGTCCGGGGCCGAACAGAGACGCAGACAGTGAGCACGGATGTGTGGACACAGGGCTGAGGAGGGTGGGACGAACCGGGGGAACAGGACTGACATATAAACACCACCATGTATAAAGCAGACAGCTCGTGGGAGGCTGCTGCGTGGCACAGGGCTCAGTTCGGTGTTCTGGGACAACCTGGAGGGGTTGGACGGGAGGGCATGGAGGGAGGCTCAAGACAGAGGAGATCCATGTGTACTTCTGGCTGATTCACGCTGCTGCTGCTAAGTCGCTTTGGTCGTGTCCGACTCTGTGCGACCCCATAGACGGCAGCCTATGGCTGGCAGGCTCCTCTGTCCCTGGGATTCTCCAGGCAAGAACACTGGAGTGAGTTGCTATTTCCTTCTCTAATGCATACAAGTGAAAAGTGAAAGTGAAGTTGCTCAGTCATGTCCAACTCTTCGCAACCCCATGGGCTGTAGCCCACCAGGCTCCTCCGTCCATGGGATTTTCCAGGCAAGAGTACTGGAGTGGGGTGCCATTGCCTTCTCCTGATTCACGCTGAAGAACAGCAAAAAGAACACAACACCCTAAAGCAATTATACACCAATGGAAAAATAAAAAAGAATATCTAAATTGCTGTTTAGTATCCTCTCCTTTGAAAAGGAGTGTAAGCTCATGCTTCCTAACCAGTCTAACTTGCAACTTTTTTGTTTTGTTAATAACATCTTTCTGAACTGAATTTTTCATGTCTCTCAGGTGAGAGAAAAGGAAGGAAGGAGAAAGAGAAAGAGAGAGGGAGAGTGAGAGGCAGAGGGTTTGGGTTTAAGTTTACTGAATTCATAGTCGTGAGAGGGGCTGTGCTTTCAATAAATCTGATGAAGAGAAGAAAAGGGCCATGGAGACGAGCATGATTATACAGAAATAATGCATGAAACCACGTCCTCAAAGGAGCCTGAGAGGAGGAGTCTGAGATTAGCCTGAGAGGAGAGCGTCCTATGGTCTGAGAGTCTGGGAGCCGGAAGGAGACAAGGTCAGTGAAAAACCCAGAAATTTTTCTGGTATAGAAGAATAAAGTGGAGGTAATTCATGTCAGGGATTTTACTCTCTTTGTAAAGTGTAAGGTGCTACATTCATCCTCAGAGAGGTAACCCTATGACCTGACCTGAGAAATAAGGAAAACTTGAGATAAGCAGATCGAGGAACATGACCTACAGTCAATTCACAATAAATGAAAAGCGTCTCCAGGAACGCATGCCCAGCTGTGATGGTGGAACGCGTGTGCAGGACCAGCTGGCCTGGCCTGGGGCTGTCCCCCAGCCATACTCCAGTGATGGGAACACTATGAAGATCTTCGAGGCATTTGGCTGACCTCGTTTGTTACCCATTCTCACTGAATTTGGATTTATGTGATTTGGTTTCCTTCCGAGAGAGTCCGGCAATATGGTTCTTTGGTGAATGCTATTCTGCTTGATATTTGTTCTTTTCCAGATTATAGTATATTTCTGATGTGTCTAAATCTCTCTGGCCAAGGAAGCTCTGACTTATTTCTGGCATTGGCTGTGCTGTTTGCCAGGCTGGAGCAGGGTTTCCAGTGTGGCTAAGGAGAATGTCTGTAAGATATGCTTACTTGTCCTCTGCCTTTAGGTAAGGAGACCCAAGGTAAGCCAACACAAGGAGGTATCTGGCCCTGATGTGGGTTGAACACTGTGCTAGGCTTCTACAGACACAAAGCCCTTCAGTGGGGAGGGAGAGTCAGGATATAAAAATGGAAAGTTTGAGGTTAAAAACAATATTATACCTAAATAGAGCTGACATACTCTATCTCTGATTATAATCAACCCTGAATATTCATTGGAAGGACTGGGATGCTAAAGTTGAAGCTCTTGTACTTTAGCCCCCAGTGTGAAGAGCTGACTCATTGGAAAAGACCCTGATGCTGGGAAAGACGGAAGGCAAAGAGAGGAGAAGGAGGCAGAGGATGGGATGGTTAGATGGCATCACCGACTCAATGGACATGAACTTGAGCAAACTCCAAGAGATAGTGGAGGACGGGGAGGCCTGGTGTGCTGCAGTCTGTGGGGTCGCAAAGAGCTGGACATGACTTAGTGACGGAACAACAACAACATATCCTCTCTCGACAGTAACAGATGGTTCTATATCACGGATCTTGGAGAAGCCAGTAGAGTGCGTACTCACTTAATGGTCCATCCGAGATGGGGGGTGGGGAGGGGGAGGATGGTGAGTAACCACATCAGCAAACTTAAAAAAAAATTTTATCATACATGTATTTAATTGAACTACAGTTGATTTGCAGTAAATATTTATTGAGCACTTTTCTAGGCATTTTGCATCCAGTATTTCTTTCTTCACAGAACAGCCTTATACAATAACAGTATTTTTGTCTTTGCTTTTTCCAAAAAGGGATCTTAAAGCAGAGTTAGTTGAATCAAGTCACACAGCTCAGGAGGCTGTCCCAAACTGTGAAGACAAGTTTGCCTTCTGAGAAGAATATTGTAAAAAACCAAAACCACCACACAAATTTAAAGTAACCCTCCTTCACCCCATGCTCTGTGGTTAAATGGCAGAAAGTCAAGACAACATAAAAAAAACTAAGTGTCCCGTACATTATACTAAGTAGTAATGACTGTAATTATTTTCA